GGTTAGGCACTCAGTTACAAGCTTGTGGGGTGTGTTGAAACTTCTTTCGCGCACATTCTTCATTGCTGTTGAGTTGCTTTAGTTTCTGGCTAAGATCTGGTGGTAGCTGACCCAAGTTCTATGGAGACTTCTGCAATCTCACTTTGAGCACCAAGAGGTAAGCTATGCGGAATGCACAGTCTGGTTGCACAAATGCATGGCAGCCACAGGGCTCTAAAGGTAACAATTGCTTCATTTGAGATGTTGTTAACCAACCACTATGCTGGTCATTTTCTAATTGACTGTCCCAAACAAAAACGTACCTAAGTAGCTTGAGGTGACACGCAGCAGCCATTGTGTATGTTTTCGCGCGCTCTCTCTGCTCAGCTCGCGACTCGCCTTTGTTTACAGAAAAGATTCCCCGACATTATGTCCAGTGACGGCCTTGTTGTCCTTCCGCAGAACGACGTCCAGCTTGAGCCACTAGGTATAACTCCAGGTTAGGCACTCAGTTCTGAAGCTAGCACATTGTTTCTGCGCAAGCACACTGTACTCACTGGTTCGGTGTAAGCCAAAAAATGCTCACACCAAAAAGCATGGTTCACCGCGTCTGAAGTCTAATGTGATTTTTGTGTTAAGTGTTAAGTGTGAAGTGTTAAGTCTAGTGTGTCGAGTCCGTGTGTGGGTCTCTGTGTGTGTGTGTTTATGTGTGTATCTGTGTCTGTCTCTGTGCACCAAGTCGCCAGTTCTCATCTTCCAGCTCCCCAGATACTCCGCGTACTGAAGTCATACTACAAAGTCGCCAGTTCTCATCTTCCAGCTCCCCAGATATTCCGCGCTAAAGTTGTACTACCAAGTCACCAGTTCTCATCTTCCAGCTCCCCAGATACTGCGCGTACTAAAGTTGTACGACAAAGTCGCCAGTTCTCATCTTCCAGCTCCCCAGATACTCCGCGTACTAAAGTTGTACTACCAAGTCCCCAGTTCTCATCTTCCAGCTCCCCAGATACTCCGCGTACTAAAGTTTTACTACAAAGTCGCATCTTCCAGCTCCCAGCTACTCCGCGTACTACAGTTGTACTAGCAAGTTGCCAGTCTCTCATCTTCGAGCTCCCCAGACACACGCGCACATGGGACACATCTCCCTGTCGGCTGCATTTCGCGCACTCGACACGCACGATCTCCGCAGAGGGTTGCGCGAGCACCGGACAAATCGCACTCTCGCCTGCATTTCGCGCACTCGACACGCACGATCTCCGCATGAGGGTCGCGCGGGCGCCGGATAAATCGCACTCTCGCCTGCATTTCGCGCACTCGACACGCGCGATCTCCGCAGAGGGTCGCGCGGGCACCGGACAAATCGCTCTCTCGCCTGCATTTCGCGCACTCGACACGCACGATCTTCGCAGAGGGTTGCGCGGGCACCGGAAAGATCGCGCTCTCGCCTGCATTTCGCGCACTCGACACGCACGATCTCCGCAGAGGGTTGCCCGCGCCACGGACAAATCGCACTCTCGCCTGCGTTCCGCGCACTCGACACGCGCGATCTCCGCAGAGGGTTGCCCGCGGGCAGAACAAATCGCGCTCTCTCCTGCATTTCGCGCACTCGACACGCACGATCTCCGCAGAGGGCTTCGGTTGACGCTGTTCGTCCCACCCTCCGCCTTTAAAGAGAATTCATAAAGTGAGGAAATGTTTTTCATTAGGATATCTCCCGTGAAAACTTTCATACTCATACTCACACTTGCATACTTGCACTGGGATACTTACTTACACCTGCACACCTGCATACTTGCACTGGGATATTTGCACTTGCATACTTGCACTTGGATGCTTTCACTCTTACACTGGGATACTTACACTTGGATACTTCTGTGCCATTGTTAAGTATAGAAGTGTAAGTGTTCAAGTGTCAGTATAGCAGTGTACGTGTTCAAGTGATTCACGTGTAAGTATTATAGAAGTGTAAGTGTTCAAGTGTAAGTACTGCAGTGTACGTGTTCAAGTGACTCAAGTGTAAGTATAGCAGTGCACGTGTTCAAGTGATTTTCCGGAAGAACCCTTCGCAATGCTTTCGGGAAAAAGGATGATGGAGAACGAACATGAGCATTGAACTGTAGATCACAAGAACTTACTCCTCCATCTGCTAGTATAAGTTACGTACATACTATATTGCAATCTACTGTACTTGTGCACTTCGATGCAAAAGATCAAAGTAGTCAGAGTCGCTCTCCATGTCGATGGTGGACTCCTACTTGCTCCTGTAGGCCATCATGTACCTATATGCTTTTGAAGACTTTGCAGATCTTTGCAGCATGATTTGGTTTGGAATTTGAGTGTGATCCATCCAAACTATGAGGATCAGCACTATGAATATTTATCAACAAGGAAACAATATTCCACAAACGCTCCAGGCGACCATCAACCAACGCTCCAGGCACCCCAATCGACTTGAGCGTCTCCGCGCCGGTCGGTGCCTGGCGCAGCGCTGGTGTTGGCGCACGCGCTGCAGTGGCCTTGGCGAGTGGCATCTCGGCCGCAGCGCCGCCGGTGTTCGGGGCTGACATCCTTCTGCGATGTTGGCAGTGTTGAATCACTGATGCATCACTGACATCACCAGTGAACATATGATCCTGCCACCTTCCACTTGGTCTTCATGTCAACATCAAACATTTTGAGAGTCCCTTTTGATCAGGATGGCTGGGCGGCCGTGAGACCGTGCCTGGCACCATCGTGGAGAGGTTGGGAGCCACGAGTTCGCGCAGATTCAAAGCTGAGCGGCGCTTGGTGACCCACGACCCACCCCACCAGCGCTTGGGGTTTCAGGGATTTTCTTTGCCGGTCTTTCTCCTTAGCAACCTTTGAGAATTTTGATGGCCAGATGAAGAGCATTTCTCCAGAAGGGTGGTGGTGGGTGCTAGTCCGAGCGAGACAACTCCCAGTCAAAGATGATAGAACCTAAGTGTTTGCACAAAGGGCAAACATGCCACATGCCACATCCAAGCAGAGTGTGATCCTTTGCTAGAATTCCCAGCCAGTGCAGCTGTGCCGCCAGGGGTCCTGGCACTCTGCGGCGTTTGCAGTTGGATTCCGATGCCTTGACCAGGCGCCATCCGTTGGGTGGGGGCGGCAAGGACGCCCGTGGGTGGTCCAGGAGACCTGTCCTTTGTTCCTGCTGTGTTCGATTACTGTGCACCTCTGCTAGGAGCTTCTTGCTCCTAGCAGCGATGCCAGGAGCCCCTAGTAGCGTCCTTGCTCCTAGTAGCGATGCCCTTTGCTACGAGTAGCTTCTTGCTCCTAGTTCTCTTGATACACACCCTCAATTTGTTGCAATTCAGCAGCTGATATCGCAAGTGAGGTTTAAGCAGATGCCTTTTCTGAAGAAGATGTCCCAATACGGTACATGTTCACACGTGTCCACAATGAAGCCTGACCAGATTTTCAAGAAGCAAGCACCACCAGCTCTGGGTTGCCACATGAATCCAGCCAACCAACCAAAAGGTGTCTCTACCTGCCAGGGCTCACCACCAGTGGGGTTTGGGCTCACTTTGACTGGTTTGGACGACTTCAGCTGGTGAAATCACCGCGAAGGAACGACACCTTCTGGGCCCTTCAGGAGATGGCAGAGGGGGAGGCTTGCTGGGAGGAGAGATGAGAGGAGCTGAAGCTAACGAGACTGCAGACGTAGTTTTCACCGTGGCACCACTAAACAATTGGGGGGGTTGACTGCGCTGAAGCCAAGGTCGGAAGTTGATGGACTGCAGACACCTACCCAACACCAGTGTGTCTAACCTCTTTCCGGTACCTCGTGGTAGTTCAGGCATATTCAAGCCAATGCTTTGCCAGATGTGTGATTCATGTTCTTGCCTTCACAGCAGTTGGTGGATATTGGTGTTCTATGATGTTCAGGCCGCAGGCCAATGTGACCTGATGATGCTGTTCTGTTCCCCGTGACCTGATGGGTGTTGGTTGACACCAGGAGAGTCAGTAGTTTTGTCCATGGTGGAAAACAACATCCACCAGAATCTATGGGTCAGGTAGAGATTGCTTAGCTTGAATTTGCTGAACAGCTTCCGTTCTGTTATGTGATGTTTATTTATAGCTAGAGGCTATAGGCTATAGATAGTTGTTCGTGTATATTCACCTTTCTCTCTCTCTCTCTCTTTCAGTTTGAGCCATCCGATGCCTTTTCCGTCCGAGTGGCTCAAGTTTTAAGCTGCGCAGCGCGTGCAGAGTGCCACATTGATGCTTTACCAACTTCTCGTGCTGGCAACCTGGTGGCAACATTCGTTTTGAGGGATGGATTTTGCAAAACATTATGGAATGCTTGGTCACATTCGCTACAATGAAGGCCCACTGGCACCCTACCCAGAAGCCCCACCCCACTTCCACAAGTTGAGGATGTTGCCGTTGTTGTCCACCTCCGCCCCTGCCCGGGTTGGCAGAGGCTTGTGGCCTGGCTGCGCCTTTGGCAGCGCCAGCCGTGTCCTTGCAAGACCCAGCAGGACAAGAGCTGCTGTTCCTCCGCTTGGCCATCAGCACAGCTGTGGTTGGGCCATTCGCCTTGGCACCTCGCCGCTCGTGGGCGGGGTTCAAACAGGAGGGTCCGAACCGCTTGCAAAGTTTGGGGGAACCCAAAATCATCCAAGCAGCAAGGCAAGTCGTGCTCCTGGGTCTTCTGGTTCTAGGAGAATGTGCATGCAGGCTTTGGGACGCACCTTGCGGACTCTGCACGATTCTGTGGTCCTGTCAAGAAGTTTGATGAAATTATATCATGTGGATGCTTGTTCTGTCCTGAGCCATGCCATGGTGCCAACAAGCCAGTAGGAAGAACTCAACCTCCACGTCATCTTCACGGTCAGCGAGAAACACCCCAAGCAGAGTGGTCGGTCGAAGCAAGTGCATAGGCCGCGGCATACCACGGCTTTTGGTGGGTCGGTCAAGCAGTTTGGTGCTATTTCCAGCACCAAAGCCGTCAGGTGGAGAATGAGTTGGTCTTCCAAAATCCTCAGCCGCGGCGCATGGAGGGCCGCTTCTCCTTTCAGCTGCCCATTGGCCCAGAGGGCTCGGCAGCCATGCCCTCGCGCTTGGCGATGGAGATCCAGGGGAAGCTAATGGAAGGCCCAACAAAGGGGGGGTGTTGCGCGGCAGCAGCAGGTGAAGACATGTTCTTTCGGCATAAGTGTATCTCGTTCGGGTGCTGGTCATGTGACATGTGTTTTGTCTTTGGAGGTTGTGGCTAGTGCCAGCTATCAAATTGATTTGACGCAGGTATTTCCTACCATCAATTGTTGAAACCAAAAAGGATCTCCTGTGAACATATACTACTGTATTCTCCCGCTGATTTCGAGTCTATATAATTCCTTAAAGATCCTTAAAGCCAAGTTAAAGAAACGGTGTGGGACAAGTTTCCAATCATGATGCTGACTCCGTAGGCCTTTCATTCGAAAAGCACGGTTTTCTGGGCGGCTGCCGTGGAACAATGGAAATCAGTCGATGGGTTGTGAACGACCCCGCCCGTAAGGAGAACGGGCGAGGGCGGGGTGGTTTCGCAGGAGTGGTTCGATCACTTCGTCATGTGCGCAAGAAAAAGGGGTCGATCAAGCCAGCTGTGACCTGCCATGCTTCCTTTTTCGGGCTTTGAGATCCAATTCTTGGACTTTGTCATGCAATGTTTTTCTGTTCGTTGGAACTTGGACCGGAATTCGATTCCCAATCCAAACTCCGGAAGTCATTCAAAGGGCCTCACTCAGTCATTCAAACTCCGGTGTGAAAAAGGACCTGACAATGTCTGAACTCAGTCATTCCATGTCATTCCCACCTTCCAATTCCGGTAAAATGACTCGGAGGCGAAGTGGTGAACCGCTCGAAGGCTCAGAAGGTCTACCGGGAGATCCTGCACGAAGCGCGTGACCCTGCACTGCTGGAGCAGAGCCAAGGACAGACGGCAATTCGCGAGCGAGCGAGGTCACGGACGGCGGAAGCGAGGAGGAAGGAGACTGAAGGAAGTCTGTTGGGGATGAAGGCGAGAACCACAAGAAGGAACAGGCTTCCTGCACCAGCGAGAAGGACTAAGGTTCTGTTAGACATGAAGGCGAGAACAACAAGAAGGAGTCCTGGAGTCCTGCAGTCCAGCGAAGATGACCACCTTTACCTTGCATACGGAGATTAAAAGAGGTAGATGATGTTGGAGAATTTGTTCTTTCAAACGTCCAAACGGGATGTTTCTTCTTTCAATGTTCACGGTTTTAGAAGTGTTGAATTCCTTTGAGCAGAAAGTCAGCACAGAAATAGTGAAATTGAATATATTGAATTTATGGGCTTCTTATGTACATGTGAGTCGAACAAGTGGACCATCAAAAGGCTGAGGCTGGCCAGATGCAGGCAGTTTCTTTTTCCTTGGCAGTTTGTTTTTCATCATGATGCCTCTGAAAGAGTCTGACAGAGTCATAGCATGTCATAGCTGTTTGAGGTTTGCGTCTTTAGCCCGTTCAGAGGAAATATCTTTACCGCTCGGGTCTTTCCCATCGATCCCCATGCAGTTGTTCTGCTGCCATTTGCTGAGAAAGTTTTGCTAGTTTTTGCTTGGCCTTTGTGTTGGTACCAGACTAACCTCAAGTTGTCAAGTGACAAAGCAAAAATAACCTTTCCGTACCTTTCCCCTGCTTTTTAGCATGCTTTCCTCTTACCAAAAGACCAGGGAAGGACAGGTGAAACTTCAGAAGACAGAGAGGGCACAAACGATTTTTGGGACTGGTACAGGTGCTGGGAAGCAGGAAAGGGATCAGTTGCCCCATGGTCCATGTCGGTCCTCCCTTTCCTCGCATGAAGTTTCAGAAGTTGTGGAGTGTGGCACTCGCTCTTGAGATGAAAAAACAAGTATTGCAAATGATCACGTGAGCATTCCCCCTGTTTCTTCTACTCAGAGTCAATGTGTTGGGAGTTGAGGTCAGATTGATCCTTTCCTATACGATCACCATCCCCATGCGCAACTGGCATCGAACTCTGACGATTCCGCTCGCTGGCTTGCCCGATGCTGGCCTGATCTGGTTCGGGTAATCACCCTCAATTTAAATGCTAGCTTCTTGCTCCTAGTAGTACGGCCAGGAGCCCCCAGTAGCGTCCTTGCTCCGAGTAGCGATGCCAGGAGCCCCTGGCCCCTAGTAACTTCTTGATTTAACTGCATATCTGTTTACCATGAAGATGAACTTTGGGTTTTGCATGATGGCAAACCACGAAGTTCCATCTGCTGAGGTGTCGAAGTGCACAACCATTCACACTAGTGAGGACTCTCAGGTGCTACTTAGAGCACAACCGTCTAGCTTTGTCGTTCATTTGGAGAAAGATACTACTGAGCAGAACAGTCTCGCAGAGACGCGGGGAGAGTCATTGAACAAATGGGCGTGTAGTAGACCGTCCTCAGTCAAGCGTTGTTTGAAGGATGTTCGTGCCCGCTATTGATCACTATTGGTGAGGCCGCACTGCCCATCCTTTCTTCACCACCTCGCTTGCTGAGGAAATCCACAACTTCTCCTTCGCAGCCAGCGTGCGCGGCTTCAATGGAGGCTTCAGTGCCAACTGCACCGTGCCTCGGCGGAGGCTGCACCGTACGTCGTCGCTTGACCGGAGAGAACGTGGCTCGATGCTTTGGGGCCAAACTGGTTATGGACGGGGCAGTGTCCAGACTCAATGTATCTCACGCGCCAAATAGGGTGGGGGCCCCACCAAAGCAGATATTTGAAGTCTTAGGGATTCACAGCAGCTTCGGGACGAAAGAAGTGCGGCGTTGTTTGCATCTCCAATTACCAAAGATCAACTTATTCTCAACACTGTAAGATGCTCCGGTGTTCGGTACGAATTGATTTATACTATAGGATGTTCATTGAACATCCAACCCCACTGTGCAAGCAACAATTCTTTGATGTCACCTGTATAAAGGCAAAGGATCCCCTTGATGTTTAATAGTGCGTTTGGATTTGTTTGGCAGGTGTCCTTGGCTGTCCTTGTACAGCAACACATCAACTGAGACATGGCCAAAGTGCTATGTGCTCGCATTTTCTCCCAAGACATCCATGACATTCCATGCCCTGTGATTCCCGTTGTTGGCCATGGCATTCCCCGTTATGCCCGTTGTTGACCTATACTATCCTATACTTCTGGCGCTTTTATTCCACCACTTGACAGTGTTGGTGGCATGGAGGCAGACGAGGCAGAACCCCTAAGCATGAACTCACTGAACCGACCTTCATGTCCAAATGGGGGGGCAGTTCGTCGCTTCCTCGAAACCATGTGATTATATGTGATATGATGTGGTACGATGTGGTATGCGTGCATCCTTTGGCCGACTCTCTGCTCGATCAACCAAAAGACGGCACCTCCGCGCCTCGCGCCTCCAGGTGGATGGTGCCCCGCTCCTGAGCACCGTCACGGAGAACGAAGCGATGCACTTCGCCACGGAGCGCGAGCACTACGTCGCGCAGAGCGACGTGCAGATCGATCTGTGGGAGCCGTTGGCGGTGTCCAAGAGCTTCTCAGTGGATGGAGGGCAGATGGTCTCGAGCTTCGTGATTGATGAGTCCAATACCTCCAGCCGGGTGGGGCGCTATCTTTAGCGGTCGCGGGAGCAATATTGGGGCTGGAAGACGACAAAGATGTTGGGTTCTTGGATTCCTTGAATACACAGAAGATGGGTGAAACAATGTCAAACAATCATTCTAGATCATTATAGTCTTGGGGACTCAAGAAAGTCATTAGAAGACATCACCCGAAATGGGTGACTTCGTCCCAAAGCACTTCGTCCCAACACTGAACTTCCCATCCGTCCGGATGCTGCACACGGAGTTGTTACTTCTGACTGGTGCCACATACTCACAACTTCAGCATGTAAAACAAATCAAGGCACTAGGAGGCAGGTGTGACAGTATTTTTGTGTGACACATGTTGAAAGGGGACATCATTTGTTCCACTTGCCATTGCTTTTGTTTTGAACTCTTTTTCATCTTGCACGTTGCCACCTGCCAATGGCACACCCAATGGCAACATGGCGCAATGCAGCACCCATGCCAGGCCTTTTCACCGGATTCGTGGATAGTCTACGTGGACACCTCGGCATCCACAGCGGATTCGGTGTTGGTGCGGCTGCCCTTGATCCAAGCCTTCTTGGAGGCACCGGCTGGTGCAAACCCTGATCCCATCGTGTACGTGTCACAAGGGTAGTCAATGAGACCCACAGACCATCCAAATAGATGCCCCTAAAGGCCTTTTTAAACCTATATATATATATATAGTAATTCAGAAACAGCTGGTTCTATTGGGATATGATATTATCCTCAGCGTCAAGATTCAACGGCAAGTTATTTATCAAATGGTTTTATAAGTAGCCGCTACTAATTCATTAAAGGGAGAAACTGGGAGACATATTCAAGGCCTTGCTATGACCGCTCTTCACTTGCCGTCTTACTGAGGTAACCTGTCATTCCTTCCTTGTTGCTTTCCCCTGGCTGGCTAGTAATTACTTATACTCAAAATATCCTGGTCTATTCAAATCTCAATGTGCCTCTTGCGTGATCTTTGCTTTGTTGTGCTGGCCTTTGTCTATGCCCCATGCAGCCTCTACTTGGGTTTCAATCAGTGAACAGTTACCTGTTGCAGTGCCTCTTTGACAAATGTTGTGTTCCCTTTCTTCCTCTGGAAGTGCTGGTTTCTATCACAGACTGTCCAGTCTGCTTGTGTTTCTGTGTGACAGTCCTATGTTCATTCCTTTTTTTCCCAATTTGTGTTGTAGTGTTTTTGTATTTTTATTAGTATTGTTTTTGTACGTTTCCCTAAATTATGCAATTATTATTTTTTTGAGACTTTGCTTCTGTTGCTTCGTAGGGAGCTCACAAAAGTAGCGTCCTTGCTCCTAGTAGTGATGCCAGGAGCTACGTTTGCACCGTCCTTGCTCGGTGGAGGATCCAATAATTGTTAGATGCCAGTGTGCCGCTGCATGGTTCAATGTTCAGCATCAAGCTCAAGAGCAGGTCGCTGTTTTGAATGATGGAACTCCTGCACACCACTGGACCTGGAAGGCCATGCCGGAGGTGAAGGTCCAAGTCTATGCCTTCGACATCGAGGCAGATTCTGGGGGAGCTTTCTCGTGCGGCGATTTGGAGATGCTTCACCGGTCGAAATGAGCGATCGGGTTTCGGAAGGGACAAAACCCTGAAAGCACCGCTTTTTTTCAGAAGGAATCTGTTGTTTTCATAGCCATATACAGTAGATGCAAACAACGAATGGCTGATTGTTCAGAATCAACTACTCTGACAAGGGGACCAAGCACATGGTTTGGTGGAGTAATGTTGGATCTGAATTAGCAACCCCCGCCCTAGCAAACAATCCAGGGGTCTAAAGAGTATCGTCGTCGTCGTCGTCGTCGTAGTATTCGTCGTAGTAGTAGTCGTAGTCAGAGTAGTAGTAGTAGTAGTAGTAGTAGTAGTAGTAGTAGTAGTAGTAGTAGTAGTAGTAGTAGTAGTAGTAGTAGTAGTAGTAGTA